TGGTGTGATCTCAGCTCACTATAGCGTCCACCTACTGGGTCAAGCCTCCCGAGTAGCCATAACTACAGGTGCTTGCCACCACGCCCAGGTAACTTTTATATTTTTAGTAGAGATGGAGTTTCACTATGTTGGCCAGGCTGGTCTCGAACTCCTGACCTCAGGTGATCCACTTGCCTCAGCCTCTCAAAGTGTTGGGATTACAGGTGTGAGCCACTGCCCTGGCCTGTTCCATTGTTTTTGACAAATGCGTAATGTCATGTGTCCACCATTACAATATCATACAGAATAGTTTCACTTCCTTGAAAATTCCATGTGCTCCACCAATTCATCTCTCCTTCCTTCTCCCAAATCTCTGGCAACCACTCATCTGTTTACTGTCTCTAGAGTTTTGCCTTTTCCAGAATGTCATATAGTTAAACAATACAGTATGTAGCCTTTTCAGACTGACTTCTTTCACCTAGGAATCTGCATTTAAGTTTCTTCCATGTCTTTTTGTGGCCTGATAACTCAGTTCTTTTTCTTTTTAGTGCTAAATAATATTCTATCATATGGAAGGACCATAGTTCATTTATCCACTCACTTACAGAAGGACATCTTGGTTTTGGTAGTTATGAATAAAGTTATATTGCTTCCAGAAACATTCATGTGCAGGTTTTGTGTGAACAAAAGTTTTCAGTTTATTTGGGTAAATACCAAGTAATGCAATTGCTGAATCATATGGGAAGAGTATGTTTAGTTTTGTAAAAAACTGCCTGTCTTCCAAAGTGGCTGTAGCATTTTGTATTCCCACCAGCAATGAATGAGCGTTCCCACTGCTCCACATCCTTGCCAGCATTTGGCGGCCTATTTTTTTTCCTTTCTTAAACAGAGCTACATTACTGTTAATTTGTACTGAGTTTACTGCCCATCAGGATCCCTTAGACATTTTTATATGACTTAGCTGCTGAGCCATGTTCTCTTTCTCTCAAACTTGTGCAGTTATTCTTTGGACTTTCCTTAGTGGTCTTTCTTTTCTTTTGTGCCTCTCCAGATGCCCTGAGCTTGGTCTCTTTTACTTATCAGGTACATTCATAAGCCAACTGCTTATTGACTGTATTACTGTTAAGGACTCACACTTAGATTCTTCCCCAGGGGATTGCCTTTGGGAGACTGAAGGGTGCCTCTCCCGGAGGTGCCTGGGAATTGACATTCATCTCCTGATCAGATGGTCTGTAGACAATAACTGACTGGTATGGAGGTAGAGGAACTGAGCTCCCTTGCCCCTAGGAGGGACAAATGCTGTTATGGAAGTTATATATTCCAGAGCTCCCTGGGAGATCAGGCAGACACCAGGGTACACCTAAAAACATATTCTAGCTTAGCTTAGCCCCCTTCTCTATCTTCATCTCTCACTTCCTACAGGTTTCTCCTGAGGGCACAACCTTATTAAATTACTTGCACATGAATCCCAAACTCAGGCTCTGTTGCTAGGGAATCTGACCTAATTTTATGACTTATTTCGATTATAGCACACAACTGTTTCTAATATTTTTGACTATTATAACCATTCTTTTCAAAAGTACTAATGACCCTACTTCAAATAGGTTATTTTGAATTGCTTATGCATTGTTGCTTGTATTTATTGAATCTCTAAGGGCAAGACTTTTTCAGGAAAAGAATTACCTTTTCAATATTATGAGAAATGTCAATGGGAAAATCAGATCAAAATGATAAAACTTTATGGCTAAGTAAACATGCATGGAATCGATCCGTTCCATTAGGTGAGGATTACCTCCATTGCATTTACAAATGTCACATCCCTCACTGAGCTGTTGACAGTCGTGCCATTTTAGGAAGACATTCTATTTCAGTCTCATGAGTGTCAGAATTTATGTGCAAGAGGTACCTTTTACTCTTTAAAAATTACCATTTGGTTTTGTCTGAATGATGCCTACCCTTTATTTTTTTTTTTGGTGCTGGACACCTACTTGGGCAAAAAGCCTGGGTCTTCAATGAAAGGCCCATTTCTGTGTCCCAGTGTTATGTCTTTGGGCACAGCCTTGTATCAAGGGGAAAAGTCTCTGAGAAAGTTGCCAGCAGCACTCCTGGTGGCCCTAGATCCTCACATATGGAAGTTATTGCCTAAAATGCATCACCTGATCAGAATGACAAATCACAAGATGAGAAGTTGTCACTGTGAGGTAGCATGACCCCAAGGCAGCCGCAAGGGGTTGGAGGTAACACGCAGGTCTGCAACCACCCAGCTCATTCAAGGAAGACTGAAAAAAGTCAATGTCATCAAGACCCGAAGAGAACATGTTTCTAAAAAATTCTCTTGCATTGTGTCTAAATATCAAGTCATCAGATTCAATGTGAAGCCAGCAGTACGGGAAGACAAAAAACAGTGTAGAGGATGATAGGATTTTGATTTTGATATGTTCAAGAAAATGGTCATAATAATTGGTTGTCTGGAGGATGTGAAGAGTTGTAACACAATTAAAGACAATAAGAAAAAGCACCAACCAAAACAAAAAGGAAAACCAAAATGTGACTGAGAATGTAGCTAGTTCTTTTGGGAGATTTTCTAGTCTTCACATCGATGCTTTAAAAGACTCTCACCCAAAGAATTCTCAGGGTGGGAGATCACTGATAAAACTTTCATCAAACATGCCAGCATGCATGCAGAAGAGTAACAAATCATTAAATTCTTGAGCAAGTGAAGGTATTGCCCAGAAACCCACTGCCAAAGCAGAGAGTGAAAAATAATCAAAAACAATTTTAAACAAAGAAAATTGATATCCTTTTTGAGTGAGATCAGGCATGGAAAATAGGTTTTGTTTCATGTATTACCTCTGACCAAATGATAATTGTTGCCTGGAGCTCTGTGTTGAGGAAGATTCTGAGACTAGATCTGGGTTGATTGAAAAAGAATGCTGATATGGATTAGTAATGTCTGTCACAGGTGCAAGAGGGGTAACATGTACTATATTTTTGCCATTTGTGTGAGAAATACCATGAGGTGGATAAGCTCAGATTCCATGAAGAGTAGAGCTGAACTGGGTGTCAAGAGACCAGATTCAAGTACTGTGTCCTCCATTAGCTAGTAGTTTGATTTTGATCAAATGATTTCAGCCATCTGCACACTGGTTTCCTTTTCAGGACAATGAAGTTTCTATCCTCGATGGTCTGTCATGACCCTTTAAATTCTAAAATTCTATGATCGATTAATAGTCAAACTCCAAATGCATTATTATGGAGTACTCAGGGATATGTCTTAGTTTGAATGCCTCCTGAAGAGGACCCTAAGACAGGATTCAAGTGCAACTTATTTGACTAAGAAAGTAAAGGAAATAGGCTGGGCGCAGTGGCTCATGCCTGTAATCCCAGCACTTTGGGAGGCGGAGGCGGGTGGATCACTTGAGTCAGGAGTTTGAGACCAGCCTGGTCAACATGGTGAAACTCTGTCTCTACTAAAAATACAAAAATACAGAAATTAGGGCTGGGTGTGGTGACTCACACCTGTAATCCCAGCACTTTGGGAGGCTGAGGAGGGCAGATCACGAGGTCAGGAGTTCAAGACCAGCCTGGCCAACAATTAAAAAGATAATTTTTTGTATCTTTGCAAAGATACAAAAATTAGCCGGGTGTGGTGGCAGGTGCCTGTAATCCCAGCTACTCGGGAGGTTGAGGCAGGAGAATCACTTGAACCCGGGAGCAGAGGTTGCAGTGAGCTGAAATCGCGCCATTGCATTCCAGCCTGGGTGACAGTGTGAGACTCTGTTTCAAAAAGAAAAAAAAAACAAAACAGAAATTAGCGGGGTGCAGTGGTGCATGCCTGTAATCCCAGTTACTTGGGAGGCTGAGGCAGGAGAATCGCTTGAACCTGGGAGGCGGAGGTTGCAGTGAGCTGAGATCGTGCCAATGCACTCCAGCCTGGGTGACAGTGCGAGATTCTGTTTCAAAAAGAAAAGAAAAAAAAATACAGAAATTAGCGGGGTGTGGTGGTGCATGCCTGTAATCCCAGTTACTTGGGAGGCGGAGGCAGGAGAATTGCTTGAACCTGGGAGGCGGAGGTTACAGTGAGCCTAGATCACGCCACTGTACTCCAGCCTGGGTGACAGAGCAACACTCCATCTCAGAACGAAAAAAGAAAGAAAGTAAAGGAAACTGATGGGGCGCATCATCAAATCGGCTCCCACTTAATCCCACTAGGGAAACTCATAGTGAATCTCTCTGGGAGGCAAGGTTGCTGCTATATATTTATACCAGCTCCTGTCAACCACTGGATGAGGGCTGGTGGTGGGGGATTGTGGAGGGGGGTTCAATATACCTGCACTTCCTCTCTGCTACACCAGCAAGCCAAATGAGGTCTGGTGCTAAAGAAAGTCCCCAGGCAAGAAATACAGTTGGAAATATATCCAGGGTGCATTTAAACAGTAAAGGCTGGGGAATACAGACAGGGTTGGCTATGCTAGGATTCTTGGAGGGATAAGTAAAAAAGCTCACTGGCGTTTGGGATATTAAATACAATTGATATTCAAACATTATAATAATAAACTATCTGCTTTTAAATCCCAGAGCCGAGTTATGAGTTTAGAGAATTCTGTGAAATGTAATAGTTATTTTCCATACGAACACCTATAAGGAAAGTTTATTTATTTATTTATTTTTCATTTTTTTGAGACAGGGCCTTACTTTGTTACCCAGACTGGAATGCAGTGGTGCCATAATGGCTTACCGCCACCTTGATCTCCTGGGCTCAAGCAATCCTCCTATCTCAGCCTCCTGAGTAGTGGGGACTACAGGCACATGCCACTGAGCCTGGCTAATTTTTTAAATTTATTTTTTGTAGAGATAGGGTCTCAATATGTTGCCCAGGCTGTTCTTGAACTCCTGGGCTCAAGTGATTCTCCCACCTAGTCTTCCAAAGTGCTGGGATTACAGACCTGAGCCACTGCACCTGGCCTAAGGGAAGTCTTGAAATTGGCATTGCTGGTAATGCTTTACTGTTTTCTCCACAGTCCAGAGACGAGTTCAGCAAGAAAGATTGCCTTTCAATCAGGAATGTTGTAGCTTCAATCCAAACCAAAGAAGGTCTGAATTTCAAGTTGATAAGTGGAGATGTTCTATACATCTGGGTAGGTGATGCCATTTAATAAATCTACCAAGGAACAATGGGATCTAATTAACTTGTTCTGTGACTTGTTCCATGATTTAACTTGTTCTTTGTCTTAATCAAAGATTAAAGATATCAAAGATAAATTTGAGAAGTTAAACCCACTTAAAGTTTATGCAGAAATACGCTTACCATCCCCTATATTCTTCCACATGTACTCATGTGGAGGGGTTCAAGTTTAACCACAAACAAGAGTTTGCAGATCCATCTCTTATTTCTCTGTAATTGATCTTGACTTACTCTCAACCAGTTCTATTTTTCTCTCCTGCGCCAGTCAGCATTATTGAGGAAGATATGTGTACACCACACTATAGAATCACCCTTCACAAACACACCTTTGCTCCTGCCTGAGCACTTCGCAGAAGCACAGGAAGAACGAGGAGGGATAAAGGTTACCAGAAGAGGTGCTAAATCCTCAGCCTGGCTGCTGCCTACCCCTCCTCTCCTACTGCTTCCTATTCCTTGGAATCACCAATTAACAGAAGATTCAGGCCCTATAATCCTCCTATAGTTGACATCCATCATGCTCAATCCTGGCTGCAGATCATAATCATCTGGGGGACCTTTTAAAAATACAGACTCCCAGGCCTCACCCCTAGAGATCCTGACTTTAATTGGTCAGGGATGTGGTGTAGGTGACAATAGTTTTTGAAAGCATTCCAAGTGATTATCTTATGCAGCTAGGGCTGAGAATCACTGGTCCAGATGCTACTTAGAATTCTATAGCCCCACCATTTGGACACCTGATGTTTACCTTCAGATGGCAGACATTCAGGACTAACAGAAAGAGAACTCTGCTGAGAAACTGGGAGACTCTTCTGGATTAGGAGCCACTGGAAATATTCTTTGCATTTGCTGTAGTTAATGGGATGGCAGAGGGGAGGCAACCAGCTGCTTTCTTCATGTTCTCTAGAGTTTTTAGAGTCCTCTGTCACGTGGGTTCAAGACTTTGTCCTCAAATCAGCACATTTAGAAGTTGCATCTTATCACTTTACACAGAATTGATCTGACTCACACTAATCAAACTCAAGAGACTTACTTATAAAACTGGAATTGTAATTATTTTGTTTGCAATGAGAAAGATAATTGCCATGGTTACTGGTAATAGTGAGCTCTGCAACTGAGTATTATGAGAGTGATTGGTGAGTAATATGACCAGAAGAACTGGATGATATAAAAGTACAGTAAATTTATTTTTCACTCTAGGTGTAGGCATAGTGTGGTGAGTAAGTAGACGAACTCTAAAGTCCGTTCTGGCAGGGTTCAAATACTGCTCCACCACTCAACAGCCACTGATCTTGGTCAATATCCATCTTATGTCCCAGAGTTCTTATCTATAAATATGGATGATGATGATATGAAGGTTGTTATGAGGCTTAAAATGAAATAACTCATATAAAGCACTTATCCCCTGCCTTGCACGTAGAAAGGACTCAAAAAAATGATAGCTATTATCATTATCCCCTTATGATGGTCCACTTTATACTTTACCTTACTCAATTAGTACTACAACCTGATTAAGATATATATGACTTGCCCACATTTTATAGATAAAGAAACCAAGGTCTTTTCACTATGCAGTCCACCGAGTTGATTATAAATTTCATGTCAACTCATATTGGGATTTACCTATTCTTACCATTGGGTGGTGCCGTATAAACTTTGGAATCCACTTTATCTTTCTTCTCTGAATTCTTTCTCCTATCCAGTTAGTTTCCAAGCCCTAATAAGCCCTCTTTCAAAATATCTCATGTACATGCCTTTCCTTTTCATTGCTATTGTCTACAATACACATTTCAGTACACAACACTCCCAACCCCCAATCACGCCTCAGTACTAGCCTGACCTCCTTGTCACTCTTTAATCTGTCCTCCACATTGCTGTTTGATATATATTCCAAAAACATTATTTTAGTAGGTACTTCTCTGCACATACATCTTTGGTGTCTTCCTTCTACCTATAGGGCAAAGTCCAAAAAAGTGTGACTTTCCAAGTACTCCATCGTCTGGCCCTAAATCTCTTCCCAGCCCCTCTTCTCACTATTGAACCTCTGCTTCAGCTAAATTTGAACTACTTTCTGATCTTTCACAATCTATGCTTTCTTTTTTTCTTTTTTTTTCTTTCTTTTTTTTTTTTTTTTTTGAGACTGCCAGTCTTGCTCTGCGCCAGGCTGGGATACAGTGGGTGATCTCGGTCACTAAACGTCCGCCCTGCCGTGGGCTTGCAAGTAGATTTCTGCTCCTAGCTCCAAGCAGCTGGGATTACAGGCACCCACCACCACGCCAGCTAAATTTTTGTATTTTATTAGGTGGAGACCGAGGTTTTGCCATGTTGGCCAAGACTTGGGTCCCTCGAACTCCTGACTCATGCTGCGTGCCGCCTTGGCTCCCAACAAGCTGCGGGAATGAACAGGTGTGAGCCACGCACACCCGGTCACACAGTCCTATTCCAACACCACCTTGAATGCCTTGCTGCCTTCTTTCTACCTGACCCAATTACAGCCATTCTTCAAGGCCTATCTCAAATTCTTATCCCCTTTAAAAGGTCTTCACTCACTATTCCAATCTAAATATTTTCCTATCTTTTTTGAAATTCTATACCAACTAATATTTGTATATTTAACCAAGTCTTTTGATTATTTTGAATTGATTTAAAAGTTATGACAAGGTTACTTTTTCCATTGTTCGTTTTTTCCAGATAGAGTCTGGCCTTGTCACCTAGGCTGGAGTGCAGTGGCGCAGTCACGGTTCACTGCAGTCTCAATGTCCTAGGCTCAAGCAATCCTCCCACCTCAGTTTTCCAAGTAGCTGGGAATACAGGCCACTAGCTAATTTTCCTTTTTTTTTAATTGTAGAGACAAGGTCTCACTGTGTTGCTCAGGCTGGTCTTGACCTCCTGGGTTCAAGCAATCCTCCTGCCTCGTCCTCCCAAAATGCTGGGATTACAGGCGTCAACCACTACGCCTGGCCTATTTTTTTACATGTTAATATATTGCTTCCCCAAACTGTGTAGGAATCAGTAAACAGAGAGTGAAACTGCAAGTGGGAGTGAGGAGAGCATGAGCTAGATCAATTTTGTTTTGTTTTGTTTTGTTTTGTTTCTTGGATGGCTTGCTCATTCTTGTCTCTGCAGGGGACTTCTCGGATCTTGACATTGGTTTATGCTAACTTCATATAATAGCTCATATGCTAACTAACATTATATAAGTGGACCCAAGAAAGCTAATTATTAAGTTGAGAAATATAACCTATTATATGTCGCAGAGACATAGACATCTTTTAATTTACCATGAAGAAGAGTCCCCAAAGAACCAGGACAACCAAAATCCACATGATCAGGCTGGGCTCACTCCAGGAATCCCAACGCTTTGGGAGGCCAAGGTGGGCAGGTCACTTGAGGTCAGGAGTTCAAGACCAGCCTGGCCAACATGGCGAAACCCCATCTCTACTAATAATACAAATATCAGCCAGGCATACTGGCACATGCCTGTAATTCCCGCTACTTGGGAGGCTGAGGCACGAGAATTGCTTGAACCTGGGAGGTAGAGGCTGCAGTGAGCCAAGATCATGCCACTGCACTCCAGCCTGGGGAACAGATCGAAACTGTGTCTCAAAAAAGTAAATAAATAAACAAATAAAAATTAAAATTAAGAAAAAGCCACATCATGAGAGTGTTTGTCTCCTCCTACTCCCAAATTACCAGGGAATCAGAAGGTTTCTGGTGAACACAAAATCTGACTAATAGGAGTTACGGGCTGAATATGTAACATCTCATGGCATTAGGCTATGACCCTCATTTCACCAAATGAACAGCCTTAGCATTGACATTGGAGAACTCGATATCCCTGGACAGGCTAGAATGGATACTGCCTACCCTCACCTTAGTGATTTTCCTTTGCCAAGGCCTTCAGGGTCAACCATACCCTCCTTCACATCGACCTAGTCTTTCTTTTGGTATATTGTTAAATTCAAAATAAATATTCTCAGTTCCTGCCAGCCTAAGAGCAATTCTTTCTCCCTTCCCGTCTCTCTGTCTCAATCTTTCTGTGTTTTTGTTTCTCTCTGTCTCTGTCTCTGTTTTTCACTTTCACTTTTCTTCTTTCTCCATTTCTCTCTCTCAGTCTTTGACTCTCTGCCTCTGGTCTCTGACTCATTTTCATAGCTCTACTCTGACTCATTATGTTTGATTTCACAGCAGTGGTAAATATATTTCCTTAATGTCTAAGTTTTGGAAATGACCTCTTCATGGTGTTTCAGTGCTAACAATAGACCGTAAGCTCCTCGAGGGTGGGGATGACATGTTAGTATGACAGGCAAAACATATCCGTACATTAGCCCATAATACTCAGTAAATTTACAGGTGCTCAGTCATTATGTATTATTGACTCAATCTCTAACTGTTGCTATTTTCATTAAGGCTGATGTCATTGTCAACACTGTTCCCATGAATCTTCAGCTTGGAGCAGGACCACTATCTCGGGCATTTTTGCAGAAAGCCGGTCCCATGCTCCAGAAAGAGTTAGATGACAGCAGGTGGGAAACAGAGGAAAAAGTGGGTAACGTATTCATGACAAGTGGCTACAATCTGGACTGCAAAGCTGTGCTCCATGCCGTGGCTCCAGATTGGAATAATGGAGCAGGGACTTCTTGGCAGGTAGGGAACGCTCTTAGTTCTCCACCTCACTTGGTAGCTTTGGGAATCTTCTTCTGGTGTGGTGTAGATCTGTGCTGAAGGGAGGCAATTTTGCCCTACAGAGGACAGTTGGGTTGTTACAACTGCTACTGGCATCTAGTAAGTAGAAGCGAGGGATGCTGCCAAATATCCTATGATGCACACACCAGTCCCCACAACAAAGAAGTGTCTGCCCTAGGCTGTGAAACCCTGTATTGATTGAACCCTGTCTGTCTATTGCAATCTTTATTACATTCCATGGAGAATCCATCACAACTACCAGTTATATCCGAGTAATTGACCCTTGGAAGTAGTAACAGTCACTGGGATTCTACAGGAGGGGTGTCTAAGATGTAATGTAATAATCTTTCAGTATAGCAAAGAGGTGTGCCCAGCACTGTGGTGAAGAATAAAAAAGAGTCAGTGCCCTTTCGATAATATCATTCCCACCTCCACTCCCACTTTAATTTCCCAACTTTTTTTCAGAATATAAAAAAGTAATACAATTACATTGTGGAAAATATAGAAAAGTACAAAAAGACAATAAAAATAATAATCCAACCATCAAGAGGTAACTGTTTTCTTCTTCTTTTTGAGACAGAGTTTTGCTCTGTCACCCAGGCTGGAGTACAGTGGCGCCATCTCAGCTCATTGCAACTTCCGCTCTGCCTCCTGGGTTCAAGTGATTCTCCTGCCTCAGCCTCCTGAGTAGCTGGGATTACAGGCACCCACCACCAGGCCTAGCTAATTTTTGTATTTTTAGTAGAGACGGGGTTTCACCGTGTTAGCCAGGCTGGTCTCAAACTCCTGACCTCAAGTGATCCACCCGCCTCGACCTCCCAAAGTGCCGGGATTACAGGCATGAGCTACTACTGTGCCTGGCCTTAAGAGGTAACTTTAGTTAACATTTTACTATATTTCCTTCAAGTCAACTTTATGACTTCATGCATATTTATTTATTTATTTTTTGAGATGGAGTTTTGCTCTTGTTGCCCAGGCTGGAGTGCAATAGCACAATCTTGGTTCACTGCAGCCTCTGCCTCCCGGGTTCTTGCAATTCTCCTGCCTCAGCCTCCCAAGTAGCTAGGATTATAGGCATGCGCCCCTACACCTGGCTACTTTTGTATTTGTAGTAGAGATGGGGTTTCTCCATGTTGGTCAGGCTGGTCTTGAACTCCTGACCTCAGGTGATCTGCCTGCTTCATCCTCCCAAAGTGTTGGGATTACAGGCATGAGCCACTGCAACTGGACAGCATATTTATTTCTTAGTTGAGATTCTCTCTCTCTCTCTTTTTTTGTTTTTTAATTGAAACAGGGTCTCACTCTGTCACCCAGGCTGGAGTGCAGTGGCACAATCTTACCTCACTGCAACCTCTGCCTCCTGGGCTCAGGTGATCCTCCTACCTCAGCCTCCCCAGTAGCTGGGACAACAGGCACACACCACCATCCCTGGCTAATTTTTGTGTTTTTGTAAAGATGGGGTTTCACCATGTTGCCTAGGCTGGTCTTGAACTCAAGGGCTCAAGCTATCTGCCCACCACAGCCCCCCAAAGTGTTGGGATTGTAGGTGTGAAACACCGTGTTAGGCCCAACATTATCTTTTTTTTCTTCTTCTTCTTTTGGCCCAATATTCTCTTTAAACATTTTTAAATACCGTTTTTTGTTTTTGTTTTTGAGACGGAGTCTTGCTCTGTCACCCAGGCTGGAGCTGGAGTACAGTGGCATGATCTCGGCTCACTGCCAGCTCTGCCTGCCAGGTTCACGCCATTCTCCTGCCTCAGCCTCCCAAGTAACTGGGACTACAGGCACATGCCACCAAGCCTGGCTAATTTTGTTTTTGTATTTTTAGTAGAGACGGGGTTTCACCATGTTAGCGAGGATGGTCTCTATCTCCTGACCTCGTGATCTGCCTGCCTCAGCCTCCCAAAGTACTGGGAGCCACTGCGCCTGCCACCGCACCCGGCCAATACAGTTTTTTTTTTTTGTTTTTTGTTTTTTTTTTTTTTTAAACTTAACATAAATACTGCATGTTGTTAAAGATTCTTCATAAACACCACTTTTAGTTGCATTGAGGTACCATTTTTATGCAGCCATTCCCACACTGTGGACCTGCCTCTCCTGAATGAGTGTGACTCTCTCTGGAAAGTACTCTGCCCTGTTTTTGTTTCCTCTTTCTGACTTCTCAGGCCCTGATTAAGCCAACAATAGCAGAGAGGTCCTTGTCAGAGTTGCTGGGACCACAGCTCTTTGTTTTCCACCAACTTAAGCCCTAACTTATGTAAATGTACTTTGCATATTTCAGATCATGGCAAATATAGTCAAGAAATGTTTGACAACTGTAGAAGAGCTATCTTTCTCATCAGTCACATTTACCATGATTGGAACAGGAAATTTGCGGTTTCCCAAAGCTGTTTTTGCTAAACTAATCCTTTCAGAAGTGTTCGAATACAGTAGCAGTGCAAGGCCGATAACTAAACCTTTACAAGAAGTCCACTTTCTGGTATATACAAATGACGATGAAGGCCGTCAGGTATGTTTACATATCCCATCTGCTTAATTCTGGCAAGTGAACCCAAGAGCATTCAGATGTTTTTATAGATCTAGGAATAACTGTGTTTTCTACTCCTATGCCCATAAGTGATAGTTGCTAATGGGAGGTTGCCATATGACTTAACTATGAGCCAACACTGATAACTCATGTTCCTAGACAGTTCATCAACAGACAAGCTAATTGATAATAAATACATTCTGAGAAAGAAGTGGAAAGTTATTGGCATAAAAACGGCCTTGACATTTTAACGCTGACTATATGAAAGCTAAGTCATGGCTTTATCTATGGGGAAAGGGCAGAATATGAGAAGCCTCAAAGATTTAGTTATTTGGATAGAATAGACCAGTCTATACAAGTCTGTGAGTGTCTACGAACTAGAAATAGCAGCACCATATTCAGCAGTGGAGAAGAAGTCAAAGCACACTAAGTAGTTCCCACTGACATTAGAAGAATGGTATACCTAGGTTTAATCTCAGTTTTGCCATTTAAAAGTTGGGTGACATACCTCTCTGAATCTCAGCTTTTTTTTTTTTTTTTTCAGACAGAGCCTTGCTCTGTTACCCAGGCTGGAGTGCAGTGGCACCATCTCGGCTCACTGCAGCCTCTGCCTCCTGGACTCAAGCAATCCTCCCATCTCAGCCTCCCTCGTAGCTGGGATTACAGGCATGTGCTACCACGCTTGGCTAATTTCTGTATTATTAGTAGAGACGGAGTTTCTCCATGTTGGCCAGGCTGGTCCTGACCTCAGGTGATCCACCCACCTTGGCCTCCTGAAGTGCTGGGATTACAGGCGTGAGCCACCGCGCCCAGCCTAAATCTCAGTTTTATCAAGTGTAAGATGAGTGTGATAATAACACCTTTCGGAGTTGTTCTAACTATTAAAAGGGGTGTATTTGAAGTGTTTTGCATGATATCTAGCACATAGAAAACCCCCAAAACTGGTTGTAGTCATTACCTGACTTTAAGGACTGACAGGAAATTGCTACAACTTACTAACATCACCACTTAAACAGGATCAAAGATAATTTTGTTTTTTAAGTTCTTAGTTATTCTTACCCATTCTGGATGGAAGTGTGGTCTTTCCAGAGATGTTTCCCAAAATTCCCCAGAAACACTCCAAAGTATTGCATGATGTAGTTTGTAAGTAAATTTATCCATCGGAAATAATAATAACAGTTTAAAAAATAACATTTAGCCCCAAAGGTTCTTAGTTTTCTTACCCCCAGTAAATATAAAATATCCAGAGACATATTTTCTTGCTCAAAGATAAACTGGGGTAAATTATTATTAGCAAAATATTCATGATATATGTGTCCTTGTTGAGTTCATAATAACATCTGCCCTTTACTGGGGTGACATCTCCAGTAGCAATCTGGAAAGTAACTGCCCCAAATTTCATTGTTAACCAAGAATTAGAAACATGGACTGGTACAGGCTCACGCCTGTAGTCCCAGCACTTTGGGAGGCTGAGGCAGGGGGATTGCTTGAGCCCAGGAGTTCAAAACCAGCCTGGGCAACATGGCAAAACCTCATCTCTGCAAAAAATACAAAACATTAGCCAGGCATGGTGGTGCACATCTGTAGTCCTAGCTACTTGGGAGGCTGAGGTGGGAGGATCAGTTGAGTCCAGGGAGTTGAGGCTGCAGTGAGCCAAGCTCACGCCACTGTAGTCCAGCTTGGGCAACAGAATGAGACCCTGTCCAAAAAGAAAAAGAAAAGAGAAAGAAAGAAAGAAAGAAAGAAAGAAGGAAGGAAGGAAGGAAGGAAGGAAGGAAGGAAGGAAGGAGAGAGACAGAAAGAGAAAGAAAGAAAGAAAGAAAAGAGAAAGAAAGAGAAAAAAGTAGAAAGAGTCCCAAAGATACCTGAAAAGAAAGAAAATGGATGAATACAACCCAAGTGAAACTTTATAACTCTACTCTGTCACCCATTGCTCAGTTTTATCACTCACACGACCAAAATGCCTTTTTGTTTTTTCATTTCTAAACAAAACTTCAATGTCTGATGTTTTCTACTGTGAATTTTCATGTTTTCATTCAGGAGGCTTTGGCTGGACATAAGAGATGAAGCATACTGTATGTGTTTGTTGTTAATCACCCCCAGAATGTACCTAACAGCCAGAGATGCCAAGGAACGTTGTTGCCCTGACCCCGCTTACCTACAAATGCTCTACACTGCCCTCAGCACATTGGATGTAGGAGATTAGAATTATGGAATTTCAAAAGAGGAGAGATAACTGATAGTGGTCACAAAAAAGGCATGTGACTTCCTGCAGAGCCAGAGTCAGCACCCCTGCTGACATACTTGCCTGGACAGTGTTAGATTACTCCCAGGGTAAAGTAAATCAGCACTGCTATTTGCTGAGAAAATTCCTAGGTTGAGCTGCAATCCTTTAAGAAGTCTCTGAAGGAAGAGGAGATCTTTTGAGAACTATTGTCATCAACTCTTTGATATTGGATGATCAATGCTCCAAAGAATTGGATTAATATTTTTACACAACATTGTTGTGGTCAGTAACTATTTCTATTTCCAGGCATTTTTAGATGAATTCACTAAATGGTCAAGAATAAATCCCGACAAGGCCAGGATTACCACGGCTGGAGATACCCAAGGTCTGGTAAAGTCATTCTGCTAAGGAAATATTTCCTTTTGCTGAGCAACTCTTCAGTGGTAGTTGAAGTCCAATAGAAGGAGGCAAAGCTAATTCACATGAAGAACAAATCTGTGATAGAGGAGGTGTTAGAGCATGTCCCATTGTCTGGGCACACAAAGAAGCAATTGCATATTAACATGAACCAAATCAATGGTAATGAAACCAGTTTCTAAGAAATGGTAATAAAAAATAACCAAACTGTGCCTGGCACACTATACTTTACTGATTGCTGTCTTATATAGTATATTATCTAACATGTACAATGGCCCCATGGCAGGTGGTTCTGTTGCCACTGTATAAATGTCAAAAGGTAGATCTAAAGGGTTTAAGGGATGAGCTGAAGTGGCATATCTAAGTTGTAAGCCTCAGAGTGTGGAGTGGAGAATAATATGTCAATAGATTAAACGTAACTTCCTCTGAGCAGTCTTTTTTTTTTTTTTTGAGATGGAGTCTTGCTCTGTCACCCAGGATGGAGTGCAGTGGCGTGATCTCTGCTCACTACAACCTCTGCCTCCTCAGTTCAAGCCATCCTCTTGCTTCAGTCCCCCGAGTAGCTGGGATGACAGGTGCGCACCACCACACCCAGCTAATTTTTCTGTATTTTTAGTAGACACACGGTTTCACCACATTGGCCAGGCTGGTCTCAAACTCCTGACCTCAAGTGATCCTCCCACCTCAGCCTCCCAAAGTACTGGGATTTCAGAGCAACCTTTATATTGCTACACCTGTGGTAATAAAAGACCCTCCTAGCAGTGTTGTCTGCAAGAAAGGACAGTGCCCTTTTCACACTGCCTTTTTTTCCTTGCTCCTCTCCCTTGACACCACAGCAGCTCTTGCCAGTAGACAGACTGGCACAATCGGATATTTCTGCCTCATCCTATGTAACTCAGAAAATGTAGATATGCTAACTGTCACAAAGCATTGTTTTCTAATTTCCTTTAAAAAGAAAACCTAGCTGTTTAAGAGGCCAGGAGATACGATAAAATTTGGGTTTATGCTGGGGGAAAAGAAAGAGGGCCGGGCTGGGAAGAGAATAGGGCCCCAAGATGAGTGCTCTTCCTCCAGAAGCTGAGCCAGCCCATTCTTTACCTATTTCCTTTCTTTTCAGGTGTGGTCGGGACTGTCTCTAAGCCTTATTTCACAGCATATGAAATAAAAATTGGTGCAATTACTTTTCAGGTTGCTACCGGAAATATAATCACTGAACAGGTAGATGTTATTGTAAACTCAACAACAAGGACATTTAATCTGAAATCAGGTACTTTATTTAAGCAATACATTGTAATTATTAGTATGACTAATTTCTGGAAGGGAAATTGTGGCTAATATTTGCCCTGAGTAGACAGAGAGTGTTGTAGAAAATATGTAGTCTCTGAACTCAGGAAGATGTGGGTTGAATCCCAGCTACGTCACTTACCAATGTATAGCTGTGGACAAGTCACTTAACCTCTCTGAGTGTCAGTTTCTTTGCCTGTCAAACGCCTATTTCCCAGGAGAGGATGAGATGGGGTGTCAACTGATATAAAGGTGGAGTGTAACTGACGCATGGTACTTAGTGTCAGCTCTGGACTGTTGAATTTCCACATGTATAGTTTAGTGCCTCTAAGTTCCTCTATTTTTATTTTCCTTTTTATGCAACCCAGTTGGCATTCACAACTCACCTCCCATAGTTCTTCTCTTCTCTACATTACACTGACCCAGAAATGAAACGCAAACCTTTTTCTTTATTTTCCCTGAAATGTTTGACCACTCCCATCATAGTAACACATTCAGGCATGCCCTCCCCTCATATGTCTATTAATTTATAACTTATACACATACACTCTTAACCTTTTTGGGTTTTTTGAGGTGGAGTCTCATTCTGTCACCTAGGCTGGAATGAAGTGGTATGATCTTGGCTCACTGCCACCTCTGCCTCCCGAGTTCAAGTGATTCTCATGCCTTAGCCTCCTGAGTAGCTGGGACTACAGGCATGCGCCACCACCTAACTTTTTTTTGTTGTTGTTGTTAGAGATGGGGTTTCACTATGTTGGCCAGGCTGGTCTCGAACTCCTGACCGCAAGTGATCTGCCTGCCTTGGCCTCCCAAAGTGCTGTGATTACAGGCATGAGCCACCGTGCCTAGCCCTCTTAAATTTTTGTATATTATAAAACGTTGACTTTTAAGTTAAAAGGGTAAGATAAAACATAAATAGAAATAGAATTTAAATATTTTTCAAGTTGAAAAATATTATGGAACTTACCATGCAGAAGTGAATCTGTAGAATATCCATTTAATTCATTGGTCATTCCATTTTTCAGTCATTTAAAATGTAGACATAAATAACATTTGGTTATTTGAAACACGCTAAATTGAACCTATGCATTTATCCCTGTCCCCTTTTGGATTCCATTAATACAACTGTAAAGGAATGAAAAGGATATAAACACACAAGAAAAAAGAACATTGGAAGGAAAACAACTATGAACAGAAGATAACAAATTTTTAGATGATGGGGAGCTGCTAGCCAAGAGTGGTAACTGCCATGGAATAGAGAAAATTTAGTACCTGCAGGAGAGAAGAGTAGCCCCAGAGATACAGGAATTGGAGGCTGCTGGTATCTGGGAAGGCAGGGGGCAAGTACAGAGATAAAAACAAGGTTGAATGAAATTCAAGATCAGTAGCAATTGGACTACTTGATTGGATCCCCCATCCTATACAGCAGTAACTTTCCTTGCTCTTCCCTGGCCAGAGATGGGAGGTTTATTCTCTAGAGAAACAGAACCAGAGGGATTTTGGACTTAGGGCACCAGGCATAGGTGAGATGAGGAGCTAGACTGAAAACTGTTTAAGAGAACATCTGTGTACCAAACATTGAGTGCCCAGCCCCTCTCCCTGCGTGGATCCCAGAGCAGCAGACAGCAGGTGCTGCCTGCTTGCCTTACACTGAAGCCCACTGGTCAACACGCCTTCTTGAGTAGAACTTCTAAGCTCACTCTTAAATAGGAATGGACTGGCGAAAATCACTTGACATTTGAAAAAAGTCTTCACAGCAAAGACAGAGACCAGAACAAACAAGTTGAAAAAAGATTTTTTTAAAAAGACACATTTTATAACACACACACATAATCAAGGATATATAGATATCTTCATAATGATAAAACAACTAACATTCATTCAATATTTTCTGCACGCCAGGTTCTGTGCTAAGCATTTTTCATCCATTACCTCTTTTAATGTACAAATAACCCTGTGAGGGAAGTGCCATATTAGCCTCTGTGTAACAGATGAGGAACTTATTAGTCACATACAAGCTAGTAAATCCTGGAGTCAACTTCAACCCAATTTGTCAAAATGCAAAGTCCATGTTTTTAACCACTGAACCCAGCTGTCATTAGACTTGACCAAAGTGGTGAAGCTACAACCTTGACTGGAAGATTCACTGGACTGAAACCAGCTGTCTAACTGAATGGGGCAGGGAATCAAATAACTTAGTAAAGTGCTTGATTTTATTACAGTTTTGAGATCCATGCTTCTCATTAGTATCAGAACTTTTATTTTTATATTTTCATTCATTTTTACAAAATAATAAGGGTAGAATGCAAAAAATTTCAAACAACTGCAAAAAGAGTCCTGTATAAATAGAGAAGGTAAAGTTGCAGATGCCAGCCTTTCAGATCCTGGGCACTTCCATGGCACTGAGATCAGACTGTTCATCAGCCACTGGGTGGAGGTTGCTATAGAAACAGCAGTTGGTTGGGCATGGGGGTGGTCAATGGATTATGCACAAAAGGGTGAGTTGAGCAGAAGTCTAATGTACAAAAGCTATAACCACTTATTGAATTCTAACTGATGCCTTTTACCATTAACATGTCTTATTTAGGTGTGTCAAAAGCTATTTTAGAAGGTGCTGGACAAGCTGTGGAAAATGAATGTGCTGTACTAGGTATGGACACTTGTTACTTTTGACTACAAACTTGAAAATCAGAGGGCTGAGATTACAATGAGAGGATGTACAGGAGGACTGGGGGTGGAGTAAGTAGCGAGCAAAACTTTGAAAGAAGGTTGGTTCACTGGAAGAGCAGGCACAGGTGGTGGGACTTGGAGGCTATGGGGGAGAGGTTCTTTATCCCACCATCTCATCTGTCTCTTACTTCCTAAGTAGTAAAAAGAACCCAGGCCTGGGTCCTAATAATCCAGGCTCTGCCATTTACTGAGCGATCCTAGGCATGTCATCTAACTGCTAAGAGCTTTGCTTCTCTCATCAGTAGGAAAGTTCTACTAATAAGTAGTGTGGGAAAGCTGTGCCACAGGTGGTTTTGAGGATCAGAAGGAACAATTAATGTGAAAAGTTCTGTAAACTGTAAAGTGCTGTACAAACTTTCCCCAACCTTGTTCTACTTCTTCCAACACAACTGCATATAACCAACTTCTAATCCTTTTATGAATGAGTGTGGACTTTGAGTGGGGAACCTAAGGTAGTGATTATAAACTATTTGTCCTTTAAAATACCCCTTGCAGAGTAAGGTAGACAGTCAGCTGTGAATGTGCTTTCAAGAAGTCATAGTGCACCATGTTTGACAATGTATTCCCGCAACTGACCTGCTACAGTGCCTGAAACTCCTATCTTAGTAGCTCTCCTCTGATTAAGAAATTTCTCTGGAGTGAATAAAGCTCTGGAGTGAGAACAGAGGAAGATAATATTTGATCACTAACATGAGGAGTTAGCAGGAGTTGGAGCACTAGGAGAGCTCGCTGTGCCTGGGAGGCAGGAGCAGAGGATGAAGGTGGGCTGCACAACCTGGAAAAGCCTGAGGAGGCTGCCTGGGAGGGAGGTGAGAAGGACACCCGAGGGGCCCTAGGGAGTGCCTGGGCATGGGTGCTCCTCAGGAGGGCAGGATGGGATAGGCAGGGATCCACTCTTCTCCTCCTTCCTTTTGCCGGCCCCAGCCTTACTCAGAGCAGTCTGAACCAAAGAAGCAATGCCTTAAAATGGCCCTGGTCATTTCCATGTGCTCAAGAGCTCTAGAGTCCTGAGCAAAGGAGAAGTTTTCATCCTTTTACACCTCCGTGCCACAGAGTTCGTTGCTTTTACCTCCTTCAAAAATTAACGTGACTGAATGAGCCACGTTATTTTTTACTCTTCTGGGACAGCAGAGTGGGGGTTTAGAGCTCTGGAGACTGGCTGCTTGGGTTCAAGTCCCAGGCAATCTTTGGCTACTGACCTTACCTCTCTCTGTGGCTGTTTCCTGTGTGAATGGGAAAACAGTACCTGCTTCACGGGCTTGTTTTGAGGATTGAGCAGATTAATGCAGATAAAGTGCTTTTGAACAGCACCCCAAATACTCAACAGTGTATTTGTTGAGCTCGAGAATTCTGATTGTAAAGAAAATGTGGCTGTCACAGTCCAGTGAATGAAACCAACAGGCTCGAGGGAGGCTGGGCTTCACAGCCTTCACTGATGTCAGCTATTTTCATTTCTCAAAAATCAAAGTGTTGCCTCCAGTAACTAATGGGCTGCATGTTTGTTTTTCTTCCCTTTTTTTCAGCTGCACAGCCACACAGAGATTTTATAATTACACAAGGTGGACACTTAAAGTGCAAAATAATAATTCATGTTGTTGGGAAAAATGATGTCAGGAAAACAGTCACCAGTGTTCTAGAAGAGTGTGAACAGAGGAAGTACACATCAGTTTCCCTTCCAGCCATCGGAACAGGTTTGCAGCTTATCACTCTATAATAAAATTTGAATGATACAAATTCCTTTAGATTTAGTCTCACTCTTAAGCAGATCAATGCTGAGTCCATCTGAAGGTGGCAACAATGATGTAAATCAGAGAGGGGGCCATCTTTTAGATCCGGAGGGCGCCACCAGCTACTGGGCCCAAGCCTCTTTCCTCCATCTTTCTTCTTTCTTTCTTTATTTTTTCAAGACAGAGTCTCACTCTGTTGCCCAGGCTGGAGTGCAGTGGCATGATCTCAGCTCACTGCAACCTCCTCCTCCCAGGCTCATGCAATCCTCCCACTTCAGCCTCCCAAGTAGCTAGGACCACAGGTGTGCACCACCACGCCTGGCAAATATTTGTATTTTTTTATAGAGACAGGGTTTCCCCATGTTGCCCAGGCTGGTCTCAAACTCCTAGGCTCAAGCAATCCGCCTGCCTCAGCCTCCCTAAGTGCTGAGATTACAGGCATGGGCCGCTGAGCCCACCCCTTTCTTGTTTATGTTCCCTAAGTATCTTTCCAAGTTTGGTCCTTAACTTCATAGTTTTCTCACTCTTCATTTTTTCCCCTTGGGGGATTCATTTGCTCTCATATCTGGTAACATTTCTGCACTGACTCTCAAATCAGCATTTCTCATTCTCTCCAGGATCTCCTCTGGGGAAGTTTTCTGTTACTAGAAACTTCATTACATCAGAATCCAAACTCATGATCCTCCCTTGAAAACAGACACTCCTCTTGAGCTCTCAGGCTTTTTCGTTTCCTTCTTCAGTGGTGCCATGACGCTCCCAGCTACCCTGGCCTGCCATCCTTGCTTTGTTGTGTCCCCAGACCCCCAGAGTCAGCAAGTCCTGCTGAATCTTCTTCCAGAGAGTTATTGAGTTCCAGCCTTTCTTTTCGTTTCCAAACCCTTCAGACCTCCCCCATCTGGTTTACTTCAATGTCTCCCAGTCGGCTCCTCATTCATGCGTTCGTTGAATTGAAATGCCGTTACCCAGGCTCTGTGCAAGGCACTGGGGAGAAAATCATGAGTAAGATGCAGTCACTCCCCATGAGCAACAAGCTCAGGTTTGTCCTGCTCACAGTGTCTAGGAATGCTTTCCTCATCTCTATCGTATCATTCAGTCATTTGCTTTTCTCAGTTGACAGTGCTACTGGTCACTCACTTCCTGATTCATTCACATCCATGTCCCCTGTCACTCTCATGCAAATGAGGGCTTCTTCCTTGGGAAGTATTAATAGTATGTAGCCACAGATTACCATTAATCTAAGAGAGTTTTTCAGCAATTAAATTTTTGATCTTAGAGCCACCACCATCATTTTAGCTCAACTCTGTAGACTTCCTTCTTCCCAGATTAAAACAGAATGCTCCTGCAGGTATCCCAGGCCCCTCTCGTATAACCCCCAGGACACCCTCCAAAGTTTGCAGTACATTCTTCCTGGCTTCCCCACTGCCCTTATTAACACCTATAACCTTTAGTTATAACCTTTTGTTATCAGTGGTAATGAGGGCAATAGGGAAGCCAGGGGGAACGTGCTGCAAGCATTTTGTTACCACTTTTTGTTCCTTTTGTTCATTCATTTCTCCCCATCTGGAGCCTCTCCCACACCATCTGGCTAATTACAGCTCTCACAAACCCAAATTGTTTTGTTGCCATCACCCAGGGCAAGCACTCTGCTACTTGGCACTGGGCAAACAGAATGGAGTAAGCTCTGGCCCCTCCAGGAGTTCGTGATTTTGGAACAGATGCAGGACATAGTAACCGAGAATGATACCCAATGCAGAGATCACATGGTGTGATCGGCCACATAATGGGAAGGTTTGCAACTGGGCAGGTGGAATGAACCTGTCAAGGGACTGCATACAGAAAGAGAAGAGGGCTGAAACCAGAACAGTGGAAAATGCCCACAGGTAGATTGTGGTGGGGAAAGGGCAGAAAAATCAGCAAAAGAACCAACCAGTAATCCTAAGTGTTGGAGGAGGGTAAGTGCAAAACCCCAGAGGAGGAAGTGGGAGGCCATGAAATGCTTGTGCCAGGCCTCTTCGACTGTGAATACATTGTGAGATCCTCAAAAGGGAAGGACCAGATCTTTATGTCTTCTCTGCCCTGTGTTGAGTGAAGAATCATTGCCCTTTAAATTTTGTTGAATGGCGGAATGAATAACAGGTGATTTAGATGATGCCTCCAGACGTGCTCATGGATTTTCTCTTCCCCATTGATTTCAACGAACATTTTTGAAATGTTTCTCAGGCCTGGTGCAGGGGCTCACGCCTGTAATCCTAGCACTTTGGGAGGCTGAGGAGGGTGGATCACTTGATTGCTTGAGGTCAGGAGTTCGAGACCAGCCTGGCCAACATGGTGAAACCCTGTCTCTATTAAAAATAGAAAAATTAGCCAGGCGTGGTGGCAGGCAACTATAGTCCCAGCTACTCAGGAGGCTGAGGCAGGAGAATTGCTTGAACTAGGAAGCAGAGATTGCAGTGAGCTGAAATTGCACCACTGCACTCCAGCATGGGTAACAAAGTGAGACTCCATCTCGAAAACAAAAAGACAGACAGAAAAAAGAAATGTTTGCCAGGCGCAATCTATTTTGAGTACCACTAAACTCCCATGAAGTAGCTGGAATAGCTACATTAATTTTAGTAGTAATATTAATAATTGCTAAGATTTATTGAGTCCTTACTACATGTTCTAGGTGTTTTATATGTCAAAGCTCATGTATTCGTTACAGTAACCTTATATAGGGTGATCAATTCTTTTGAGTTTTCCCAGGACTTTCCTGGTTTTAGCACTGAAAGTCCCATGTTGCAGGCAGCCTCTCTGCTCTGGGGAAACTGGGAGGGTTGGTCTTGGTACCTATGACATGGAAACTATTAGCAAAGACAAGTTTATTGTGAAGATAATGAAGCTTAAGTTATTGGACTTCACTTGCACAGGATTTTTAACAGACCCTGAGAGAAGCCCTAATAATGTCTTCACCTGGTTATATGACTTAGTAAAATTTAAAAAGTAGGATATTTTAACCATCATGAATTAAGACCACTATTTCTCCCCACTTTGACGTCTCATACTTCCCCTTGCACTGGGTGATGTTGGGGTGGCTATAAACATTTACACGATATAGCTAAGGAAAGTTGCCTTAGGAATACAATTTTCAGCATTTTAAAAGATATACTTTGTTGTGATTTCTTTTCTGATTCTAAATATTCACTGTTATACATAATTACATACTTATTCTTTTTCTGAGATATATAAATTTCAAAATCTGGATCCATCCTAAACTCTGTGTCCCCATTTTGTAGATGAGAAACTTGAGGTAGGTTCAACCTAGCAACAGAGCTAGGTTCAAAGCCATGCCGCCTGGTCCCAAATCCTGCACAATTTTTACCATTACATTTGTTTTATTTTGTTTTTTGTTTGCTTGCTTGTTCACTTTTTACTATTACGTTTTTTTTTTACCATTATATTCTTACCTACTGTATTCTTAGCTACCATATTCTTATCTCTGTTACCTATTACCTTCTATTATTACCCCCAATTTCTAGCTGAGCAAACTGAAGTATACAGATGCTATAGGTTGAGTGTGTCTCTCCAAAATTCATATGTTGAAGTCCTAACCCTGGTACCTCAGATTTAGAGGTAGGGTTTTTTTTGTTTGTTTTTTGTTTTTTATTTGTTTGTTTGTTGTTGTTTTTTGAGACAGAGTCTCGCTCTGTCACCCAGGCTGGAGTTCAGGGGCACTATCTTGGCTCACTGCAACCTCCATCTCCCCAGTTCAAGTGATTCTCCTACCTCAGCCTCCTGAGTATCTGGGATTACAGGTGCCCGCCACCATGCCCAGCTAATTTTTGTATTTTTAGTAGCGACAGAATTTCACCATATTGGCAAGTCCGGTCTCGAATTCCTGACCTGAATTGATCTACTGGCCTTGGCCTCCCAAAGTGCTGGGATTACAGGCGTGAGCACCTAGTCTGGAGATAGGGTCTTTAAAGAGCTAATTAAGTTAAAATGAGGCCATTAAGGTGGACCCTAAACCAATATGACTAATGTCCTTATAAGAAGAGGACATTAGGATACTGCCAGGTATGGAAGGAAGAACATGTGAAGACACAGAGAGAAGACAGTCATCTACAGGTCAACCTTGCTGATACCTTGGCCTCAGTCTTCTAGCCTCCAGGATTATGAGAACATCAGTTTCTGTTGCTTAAGCCACCAGTCCATGGCTTTTTATACCGCAGCCCTAGCTAACTTCAAGAGGGATCAAATGACTTACTGAAGATCAGACAGCTAGTAAGTAGTGGAGCCAGGACATAAACTCAGCTCTTCTGCATCCAGATCACATGTTCTTATTTCTGCACTGCCAATGCCCATCAGCAAAAGATCACCAGGAACACACACTATGGGGAGCTCTGCAGCATCTCAGTAGGAGAGTGTTAGAAAAAGTAATGGATTTGGGCTTGTTTTAGGTGATTTTGTGGCAGTCTCAAGTAAGTGGGGCTTTTCTCTGGATCAGAGACTTTGAGGAAACAGACATAATTCTATGATTGTCTTATCTAGAAGGAAGGAGGATGCACTCTGGCTAAATGTATGATTGGTAATGCAGCAGCTGTCACTCTTTTTTTATTTTTATTTTTTGAGACGGAGTCTTGTTCTGTCGCCCAGGCTGGAATGCAGTGGCACAATCTTGGCTCACTGCAAGCTCCGCCTCCCGGGTTCACACCATTCTCCTGCCTCAGCCTCCCCAGTAGTTGGGACTACAGGCGCCCACCACCACACCTGGCTAATTTTTTGTATTTTTAGTAGAGACAGGGTTTCACCATGTTAGCCAGGATGGTTTCAATCTCCGGACCTTGTGATCCGCCCACCTCAGCCTCCCAAAGTGCTGGGATTACAGATGTGAGCCACCACGGCTGGCCTAGCAGCTATCACTCTTATTAGTCAAGATGGGGGATGTTTGGCCATCTCTGTGATTTGGACAGGGTTCATGTTTTTGTCTATGATAAGACATAATTATGGAGTAGTCTTGTTTTTGTGTTAATTCATCATGGTCAGAGTGGTTACATGGATGATATACTATGAAATTGTTTGTATTCAGCTAAAGAACATCAACTAGCTGTGAGTGTCAGATCAGTTCCTGACTGTCAGGGGTTTTCCTGTTTCTCAGCACTGAGAACTGCATGTGCCAAATTTCATCATATTACCAACATCAGCTGAAATTTCTTCTTTGTCATTAAATTTTTTTCAGGAAATGCTGGAAAAAATCCAACCACAGTTGCTGATAACATAATCGATGCTATTGTAGACTTCTCATTGCAGCGTTCCACCCCATCATTAAAAACCGTTAAAGTTGTCATCTTTCAACCTAAGCTGCTAAATGTATTCTACGACAGCATGAAAAGAGACCTCTCCGCATCACCGAACTTTCAATCCACATTCTCCATGACTACAAGTAAGATGTTTACTTTTTAAAAATCACCTAGCTGGCTCTGATAATCACTTAGAAAATGTTTAGGTGTGAATGTACACTGAGTTTATAGTTTTCTATTTGTTTTAGGACTTTTCAGATAAGTTTTTATGACCCATGGGAAAAGTACAAAAATTAGAGAACGCAACCTCCTGTCAACTGATTATTTTCCTGAGAGGCAAAATCATGCCTGGGAAATAGGAATGGCAAATAAACAGGAAGAGAATGGAAGTGAGGAAGCAGAAAGAGGGAGGAGGCTTTGCAAATTCTAGCCAATGGTCTAGCCAATATTCATTGATTGGTTGGTATTGACCCTCATTGCCTCTTGGAGCTGTGAACTAGCTGATTAATATTGGTCTGCTAATCATCCACCAATAGACATGTTAGCCTGGAATAAAATCAGATGTAAGAAGGGAGTGGCTAGGGTCAGCTGGTTGTACTACATCACAAGCAGCCAGACAGTTCCCAGATACCCAGTTGCTACTCTGTAAGGTGTGTTTATACTTTAAGTATTTGTACCAACCTCTTCCTCTAATTTCGTTTTCCCCTATTTTGTGGCATTTGTACTGCTATTAAAATAACTAGGATTGCAGCCTCCTCTTGAAATCACTATTTTCACCCATTTGGAGCACTCACCCTTAAAGCGCTGTGGGTTTTGCTAGTGATAAGGCACATGTGCCATCAGCAGCCTCCCTAAACTGAGAATTATTATCTGCTGCTGTCAGGAGGAATGTCAGTTCTCTCTACATTTATTTCCTGACAAGTATTCTCCTCAGCATGCTACAACACACAATACATGTAGGACACACACAATAAAAACATGAAAATAATAGTTGGATCTGTAAAGGTTCTTGCAGTAGCAAATAACAGAAAATCCAACTTACACTGGCTTAAGCAAAAAGCAGAATTCAATAACTCATGTTATTATAAAACCCACACATTCCTGGCTTCAGGTACAGTTTGGTCCAGGTGCTCATATAATAATATCATCTAGACCCTGAATTTCTTCATCTCTCATTCTCTTCTCAGCTGTGTTGTCTTTTTCCTCGGGCTTCATGTGGTGAAAGATGGCTGCTAGCAGCTTTAGGTCCACATCCTTCCACAGTCAGTTTCAAGAGGAAAGAGTATATCCAGTGGAGATATACACTTATCCAGGAACATGATGCCAGGGAACAGAGGTCTTTTAAGCGCTGAGAGTCTTTCTGATTGGACCATTTTAGGTTATCGTTGCAGGCAGGGAACCAGAATTACACTGATTGGCCAAACCAGAGTCACATACTCCACACTTCAGCTAGACGGGGTCACCATTTGAAGCAATGGGGGAATAGCTGTTCCCCAGAGGAAATTCAGAAAGCTTTTACCAGAAGATGAGAAAAGGATACTGGGCATTTAAAAATAGTATGTACCTACTACAGTATCTAGGGATATATAAACTAACACTTCTTCCCTTTGGTCCTTGTAGATGAAAATTTTTATTTAAATTTAAGAACAGTGAATAAGTCATTATCAGTAAAGTAAAATATAAAGTTTAACTGGTTCATCACTCTTTGCTTTCATCAAGATTTTAAACAGACTTACAAATTTAAAAAACAAAACAGTGAAGTTGAAGAGAGAAGCAAACAAAAAACTGACTAAAATGAGCAGACAACTGACCCTCTGAGACAGCAGGGTTGTCAATGCAGTGAAAGACTGATTTCAACCTGAACTTCTGGCACCCGAGGCAAAAACAAACCACAATGAAACTGCATTACGTCATCTTTGTTGTTAGAGAAAAGGAATAATACAGATGAAATATCAGATAAAAGGAAGTTTGTTGGCTCAGATAAACTGGAATTTTAGTAAGGATTTAACATATAGCCCTTTTTCAAAAAGAACTTAAAGAGGATATCTTTGAGATTCATTTGTGCAGATGATACACAATTACTTTTCAAATGTATGTTAAAGCTATTTATTGAGTCCAGAGGTTATTTATTGAGCACCAACTGTATATCAGATATTAGAAATATAGATTTGGGAAGTCACGTGAGTAGGTGGGATTGAAGCCCTTAAGTGTGATTGGCTTATCCATGAGAATAAATAGTGAGGAGAGGAAGACTGGGGACAGAGCCAGGGATCTGGTTTGTTTGTTCGTTTGTTTTTGAGACTGAATCTCACTATGTTGCCCAGGCTGGAGTGCAGTGGTATAATCTTGGCTCACTGCAACCTCTGCCTCCCAGGTTCAAGCAATTCTCTTGCCTCAGCCTCCTGAGTAGTTAGGATTACAGACATTTTAGTAGAGATGGGGTTTCACCATGTTGGTCAGGCTGGTCTCGAACTACCGATCTCAAGTGATCCACCTGTCGGCCTCCCAATGTGCTGACATTATAGGCATGAGCCAAAGTGCTCGGTTGGGATCTTGGTTTTTAATCCCATCCCCACAGCTGAGGGCATTTATCCTGAACCACCAGGAATTCGAAAGTAGAGCTTATCTTTTAAAACAGTGGTCCCCAAACTTTTTGGCCCCAGGAACCAGTTTCACGTAAGACAAGTTTTCCACGGACTGGATTATGAAGGGGGATGGTTTCAGGATGATCCAAGTGCGTTACATTTATTGTCCACTTTATTTTTATTATTATTATATTGTAATGTATGATGAAATAATTATAAAACTTACCACAATGTAGAATCAGTGGGAGCCCTGAGCTTGTTTTCCTACAACTGGACAGTCCCATCTGGGGGTGATGGGAGACAGTGACAGATCATCAGGCATTAGATTCTCACTAGGAGTGCACAATCTAAATCCCTTGCATGCACAGTTCACAACAGGGGTTGAGCTCCTATGAGAATCTAATGCTGCTGCTGATCTGACAGAAGACGGCGGTAATGTGAATGACAGGGAGCAGCTATAAACACAGATGAAACTTTGCTCTCTTGCCTGCGGCTCACCTCCTGCATGCAGCCTGCTTCCTAACAGGTTACAGACCAGTGCTAATCTGTGGCCTGGGATTTGGGGACCCCTGTTTTAAAAAACACTAATCTTTTCAAAGAGCTGTATGGGAAGAGGGCTCAGGAAAATCCTAGCACATGGAAACACTTTTAAAAGGGTAGTTACCATGATATTTCTGTGAAGCCCTGGGCTGCAAGTCAACAGTGCTCCTTACTTTGGTAATGACCTTCCATGTGATGCTGGGTGAGTATTCCTGGGACTCTGTTTTCTCTCCTCTAAATTGTCTAGCCAAAGTCATCTTTTGTACATAGAAGACAGAGTAGGTTGGTGTGGCTTAAGGGTATGATTTAAATGTTTTTCTTCCAAGAAAATACCTTTGGCTTTATGCTTTATTCCCTGTTAATATACAAATACCAGCTGGGCACTGTGGCTCATGCCTGTAATCCCAACACTTCAGAAGGCCAAGGCAGGAGGATTGCTTCAGCCCAGGAGTGGGACCAGCCTGGGCAACATGGCAGAACCTCATCTCTACCAAAAAAAAAAAAAAAATAGCGAGGCATGTGCCTGTAGTCGTACCTACTAGAGAGGCTGAGGCAGGAGGATTGCCTGAGCCTAGGAGGTCAAGGCTGCAGTGATCCATGATTGTGCCACTGCACTCAAGACTGGATAACAGAGTGAGACTCTATCTCAAAATAATAATAATTAATAATAATATGCAAATACCTCTGGGATGTAAAAAAATCAAGCTTAATTGGTTTTTAAGAATAATAACCCTATGTTTACAAAGGACTTGGCATTCCCTAAAGCACTTTCAGACTCCTTACTATATTTTAACTTTGCAACAATCCTGTGAGGTGGTAGATAGAGCTCATGGGATCCATCTTACAATTCCCATTACACAGATGAGAAAATAAAAACTCACCCAGAAGTGGTGTTATATGTGTTCAATGTCATACGGCTGGTCACAGGCTGAGGCTGATCTGGTCTTCTGATTCCAAGTCCTGATAGCTTCCTACTCTCCGACCTCAGGGCATGAAAGGAATAGAGAGCCCCCAAAAAACCTTCACCTCCTTACTTCCCAGGTTTGCCTGCTGTATTCGGGGGAAAGGAAGCAGCAGATCCAAAAGGACTGTAAGGCCTTGGGTTAGAAATGATTAGGCAGAAAGATCCTGAAGGAGATGGACAGTGGGGGAAAGGAAGGAATGTAGCTTTCAGAAACCACACACCTTATTGGTGGGAAACTGCCAGAACGACTTTAAAAATAGAGTTTGAAAAGAGCTTACTGATTAGGGTTAGATGCCTCCCTGTGTCACGAGAACTTACCCCGGATGGACTTGCTCAACAGGAAGACAGTGCCCTGGATCCCTCTCTCAGGCTGGGTATATCTTTCACTAAAAAGGAGTAAATTGTGGCTTTGTTTGTAAGGAAGAAATCCTTTGGTTTTTACCTATGGTGGTGTGTCTCTAATGCAGGGTGTCCATGTTCACACTAGTCCTGCTATCTTAGCAAGTTGATGTCTAGCCTTGGTGTTTTAGAAGTTCCAGGAAGCCATTGAAAAGCAAAGGAAACCCAGGCATGATCACCTTATGGGAAAGCATTCTCTTAGCACATCTGCTGTTTTCTTTACATGCTGCTTTCTCTGCTTGGTGTATAAGATGGGGTACAGAACAATGTACTTTAAATATCTTTAGCAGGGTAATCATTTTCAAAACAATAGAAGAGAACTACATTAAATAATACTGATAAAAGCAAAAGCACCTAGAAATTAACATTCATGTTTACATATTAGTTTCTTACAAAATTAATTCCATAGAACTCTCTGGGAAAATTACAATTTCAAGCTACAGTGGATCTAAGTTTATCTAAATATTTTAGCTAGAGCATTAATGAATATATTGTGTGTCATATTGATGTCAGACCGTTCACTTCATCTGGGTTTACTCAACTGAGGATAATAGAAGAAGCAACTGTGAAACGTGTAACTTCTAGTTTAAAGACCAGGTTTGGATGACGAGAGACAAGAGCATAGGAGGTGCCCTGATTTTCAGAGGTCTTTGGAAATGAATGTTGTATTTTGACCAAATGCTGACTTTCCAGATAATCTTCCTGAACACTGGACTGACATGAATCATCAGCTGTTTCGCATGGTCCAGCTAGACCCAGGACAACCAGAATATAATACCATAAAGGACAAGTTCACCCAAACTTGTTCTTCCTACACAATAGAGAAGGTAATACTGTGTTAAAATTTACTGTTTAAAAATGTTGATGAATTATCATAAAAGCTATCTCTTTTTAAATGACACCTTTCCTTCCTTTGTACCTTACTATGTTTATTTTAACTGGAATTAGACTTACTCAAGCTCCACAGACTTCAAATCTCACGGTTTACTCATTAGCAGTAATGAAGGAGATTCCAAGTCACATGTGTATGTTAGGATGCTTTCAGCTGCAAGTCACAAACCAACTCACTCAAACTGATTAAACAAGGAGAACTGTGTCGGAAATTAATGGAAAGTCCCTAAGTAGGATGGGCTTTGGAGAAGTCTGATCCAGCGGCTTGATGGTGTCCTGGATCCAGTTGCTCCAGCTTTGCTGTCCTCAGTGTCAGCTTTGTGTTAAGGCTGGACTCTTTGTGGTTGTTGGGTGGCTGCTGGCAGCAATTAGAGGATCTCTGCTTTCTCATTCACAACCCATAGAAGACAACTCTGTCCTGTCCTGCAGTTACTGGACAAGAATCCCAACCACTGCAACTATCTCCATGTCTAGGGAATACCCCGTTCTGGTTGGCTTGGGCCTGAGCTATCAAATGCCATCAATGTGTGATCCATATTGAAATCCTGATTAGTTTAACTCAATTAGACGCCATCCTAGAACTATAAGTAGGGCCAATCCCACTCAAACCAGAAGTTGCTGATGAGGTAGAATGTATGTTTAGAAGATTACCACAATGTCCACTATGCTGCGTAAAAACATTAGTCAGTAAACTATAGGAGGTCATTATCATACCATGTGTATCAGAACAGGGTGTGGCATCCTAGTAATTTAAAATCTTGTTGGCGCTTCCATAGAACTGTGTACTTACCTCTTGGAGCACTTATAAAGTGGTACTTTGTAACTATGCACTTACATTACAGCACTTATAAGGTACTTTGATAACCTTTCACATGCCTGGCTCCCTGACTAGACAGTGAGCTGCTTAAGGTAGGAGTTGCATCTTGTTCATTTCTTCATTCTCAGTACCTAGGAAGCTGTCTAGCACATAGTAGGACACAATGTGTATTGAGTAAACTTGATTGAATGAATGAGCTTAATTCCTGAGAAAGGGGAACCAGGAGATAGAGACATCCTACAGAAAGGACAGAATTTAAAGGAGGAGATGCCTCGTCGTGTTAAAAGCTGTTGGAAGTACAGTCCTAGACCTCTGAATCCATGGGCTCTGCATCCATGATTTCAACCAACCTCGGATGGAAAGTGTGGTGAGGCCTATGATGGTTGAGTGTACGGAATGTGTACAGACTTTTTCTTTTTTTTTTTTTCAGACTTTTTCTTCTTGTCATTATTCCCTAAACAATGTAACAACTATTTACATAGCATTTGTTAATACATTGTATGAAGCAATATAAGAAATCTAGAGATGACTGAAAGTATATGGAAGGATTGTGTAGATTATATATTAATACAAATACAGTACTATGTCATTTTATATCAGGGACTTGAGATTTTGGTATCTGCAGTGGTCCTGGAACCAATCCTTCATGGAGATTGAAGGATGACTGTACAAGATGTGCAAGAAACTCATTTCAATTGTGTTTACTCAGTATCTGCAACTTTCTTGGCTCATACTTCTTTTGAAAACCCCCAACTTTGGATTAATTCCATAACCTACCTTCTCTCCTGCTGCTCCTAGATGAAATCCTTACTAATTCATGATCCCCAGCCTCAGCTGGACCCTCCAGGCTGCCTGGAATCCTTCATTGCTTCCTCCAGTCACCCCCTCACACATTCCCCATTGCAAACCTTCATTTCTCTCCCGGAGGCCTCCGCTACTTTCAGCAGAACATCTTTCCTACCTTTTATGGCTTGGATTCTCCTCAACAGCTGCCCAGGTACCCACTCCATTCTTCTTGAACCTCTCTTCTTCCTCTGTTTCCAGAACATCATCCTTTCAGATTTCCTCCTCCTTTCCCAGACACAGGTTATCTGGAGCCCGTTCTTATAACTTCATAGCTCCAGGTGTGTTCTGCTGACCATCCCTTATCACTCTGTGGGGTAGTGGTTAGTTTTCTTGCCTTGCCCCTGCCCCTGTGCCATTAGACTGACTGTTTCATGAAGGCAGAGATCCAACACAAGCTTGATTCATAGAGATGTTCGGTAGGTGATGGCTGAATGGATGTTAACTCCGTTTCCTAGGAGGAAGGAGAGCCAGTAGAGAGTGACATTTTGAAAAGAAGTGAAAGAAGAACAGAGTTTTAAGGAGGGGATGGTTCATGGTTTGAAATGCTATTCAGAGGTCTAGAAAAAAAGTAGTCATAAGATTAGGCAATTATGAGGTGATTTGTGACCATAATTGGAGCGGTAACAGAAAGAATTGTTATGAGGAGAAGCCACATGGAATGAGTTGGAAGATGAGAAGGAGTTAAGGACATGGCTATTGAATAACTACACATTTTTGAGTAGGTGTTTGAATGTCAGTGAATCTCCAGGAATTCCAGGGAATATATATTGGTAATCATTTTGATATAAACTATAAATTATGTTATTTAAAATATATACTAACAAGCACTATTACAAAGCATAGATACTAATAGATACTTTTAGACCATCTTTCTCTAAAGGCAGAAAACTGCCTACTCTCTGAATGTGCTGTCTACTTGTATTCTCTTCTCCTTTTCCTTCACCAACTCCTCTTTCTCTTCCTTCTTTTTCATATTGCTTGTTTTAAATCCACAACAAGTGCAATACACTGAGCCCCAAGATCATTTCTGAAATATTTTGTCTTTTGTCACTTGCAGATTGAGAGGATACAGAATGCATTTCTCTGGCAGAGCTACCAGGTAAAGAAAAGGCAAATGGATATCAAGAATGATGATACAAATAATGAGAGACTCCTCTTCCATGGGACAGATGCAGACTCAGTGACATATGTCAATCAGCATGGCTTTAATCGAAGTTATGCTGGGAAGAATGGTAAGGAAGCGAGTAATCTGGCTGATCAGAACGAGGCAAACGATAGTTTCAGACTTTTCATACCCAAGCAGTGTGGAACCATGGTTGGCAGCTGTATTATCACTGTCAGAATAGAGCTCGCTGTGTTTCACTATAAAGGAGACTGGCAACCTTCTGAGGGAAGATTGAGCAAATTTTAGAAATGAAGAAAAGTAACTTTAATGTGCAGGTTTTTTTGGGGGGGAGGCTTTTTTTTCTTTTTAGACAGTCTCATTCTGTCACCCAGACTGGAGTGCAGTGGCAAGATCATGGCTCACTGCAGCCTTGATCTCTTGAGCTCAAATGATGCCCCTACCTCAGTCCCCTGAGTAGCTGGGATTACAGGCATACACCACTATGCCTGGCTAATAATTTTGTTTTATTTTTGTAGAGAAGGGATCTCATAATGTTAGCCAGGCTGGTCTCGAACTCCTGGCCTTAAGCAATCCTCCTGTCTCAGCCTCCTAAAGTGTTGGGATTACAGGCATGAGCCAACACACCTGGCTAGAACCGCATTTAGAAAACAATTTTGTCAGATTGGGCATGGTTCTACATATTGTGTAATTTTATATTCTTAGGAAGGTTTTTGTCTTTCTCTTTCCAGCTGTATTCTATGGAAAAGGAACCTATTTTGCTGTGGATGCCAGTTATTCTGCCAACGACACCTACTCCAAGCCGGACAGCAATGGGAGAAAGCACATGTACGTTGTGCGAGTACTTACTGGAGTCTTCACAAAGGGACATGCAGGATTAGTTACCCCTCCACCCAAGAATCCTCACAATCCCACAGATCTCTTTGACTCGGTGACAAACAATACACAATCTCCAAAGCTATTTGTGATATTCTTTGATAATCAGGCTTACCCAGAATATCTCATAACTTTCAGGCGTTAAAAATATTTTTATCATCAAAGAGATTATTTAAGTCATCTGTGAGAACAACATGCAATCTTCGTCTTTGCTTTTGGCCTGTTTAAGCAGACAAAAGTTTCCCTTTCAGGTGCTAAAATGCTGAAAATTACCTTTTTAAAATGCTCTATTGCTGCAATTTGTAGCATACCTTTTTTTCTCAGCAAATTGATGGGTGGAAGCTAGGAAATGTATGGTAAATGTCACAGTTAGAGCTACAGCTATTCACAGACACCAAATCTGTAGGAGAATAAAAAGCACATTATTCTTTTTCCATCAGAAAAAAAAAAACAAGATACATCACCTTAAAGCCCAGATGACACTGTTCTACTTGGAACATATTAAGACATTGAATGGTGGCGGGTTAAACTGTACTACTTAAGTGGAGAGGCTACTGTTATGCATCTGTAACAGCTGGGGATTTTGCCTTATTAAGAAAAACCTGTCGATAGTTCAGCTGAAATGACTGGATCACAGAATATTAACTCTGTTATGGAACAAATCATAACAGATTTTACCCGTTTACATTTCAGGTAAAAATGTGTAAAAATATTATCCCCAATTTTAGTGACTTAATCCCACACAGTCTTTGTTGGTCCGGAGTTCAGGTATGGCCTACCTGGTCATTCTGCTAGGGTCTCTCTGAAGTTACAGACAAGATGTCAGGGGATGTGGTCATTTGAAGGCTTGTCTGGGCTGGAGGTCTATTTCCAAGGTGAATCACTCACAGGTATTGGCAGTCCTCAGTTCCTCTCCTCACGGGCCTCTCCACAGGCTGCTTGAGTGTCCTCATGACACAAGAGCTGGCTTACTCCAGAGTGAGCAACTCAAGAGAGAGCAAGGCAGAAGCTACCAAGTCTTTATGATTGAAGTCATACACCATCTTTTCCGCAGTATCCTATTGATTATTTGGATCATCTTGTTCAACCTGGGAGGGAATTGCACAAGAACATGAATACACATTGGCAAAGATCACTGGGGGCCAGCTTGGAAGCTGTGTGAATGAGCAAATGAATGCACAGATAGAATGTTAGCAGCCAAAATGATGCTAGAGGTCACCTACCCCACTGTCCTCTTGTCTTTCTCCCCCAACCCTCCCCTGCTCCCAGGCAAGAAGCCCTCTAGCCTCTGCTTGATCACTTTCAGCACTCAACATCTTGAGGGAACCTATTCCACTGTGGGACAGTGTTAATTAGTGGAAAACTCTTTTTTTCAAAAGTTGAAATCAGTTCCTCTATGTCTATTACCTGCTGATCACTGTCCAGACTTCTGGAGGACACAGAACAAGTTTTATTCCTCTTACCGATGGTAGCCTTTCAGATCCATCCCTTCCCTCCAGTATATTAGAGTGATGTAAATTCTTAAAATGCCTAGCAGTTTATTTATCCTGAAGCATCACTTTTGAAAAGTTACAGACATTTAAGAAGTATTTACATTATCATAAATAAATTACATGTGCATTTAAAGAGGACAGAAGAGTATAAAGAAAAATATCTCACCAAACTCATTCATAATTCCAGCACTAAGGGAAAACCACTGCCAATTTCTCATGTTCTCCCTTCCAGTTTCTTCTCTGTCCAAATTCAACAAAGTCAAAATCACATTTTGTTCAGTCACGAATCATATGATATTATTTCTACCATTTTTCATTTAACATTACAAGTTGTTCTCCTGTGTTGTTATTTTTTCTGTACACATAATTTTAATGGCAGAGTTATTCTGCTTTATATCTTTTCCCTATTTTTATGTATATAGAATTATAAAATTTTAAAAAATGTAATCATCATTTATAGTTTAATAATCAGTTTTATTTTGCAGTGTATCATTTTCCTCATGTCATTAAATATTTTACATATTATTTTTAATGGTTGCATAGTATTTCATTGCCTGTTTCTACCTACATGTCGTGTCAAAATAAGGTACCTATATTTCTTGATAAATATGAGGTTAGAATATGAGATGCAAAGATCCTAATCTACCTTCAACAAGACAGTCAAAATGCTCTGTTGCTGCAATTTGTAACATAGCTGAAGGAAATATAGTCCCAGGGAACAAAGTAAGGTTAAGTAATGCAATTACTGCCTGGGACTTGTCTCTCAATACCATTGCAGAATTCTTGTGAGCCATGTTAGAACAAGAAAGGACTCCTAGCCTGGGCAAATAGGGAGACCCTATCTCTACAAAAATACAAAAAAAATTAGCCCAGCATGGTGGCACATGCCTGTGGTCCCAGCTACTCAGGAGGCTGAGATGGGAGGATTGCTTGGACCCAGGAGGTCAAGGCTGCAGTGAGCTATAATCCTGCCACTGCACTCCAGCCTGGGTCACAGAGCAAAACCCTATCTCAAAAAAAAACAAAAAACAAAAAACAAAAAAACCCTTTTACTTAGGTTAGGTGGACTCTTATTTACAATGTCCACTGCTGACTTGTTGCCTCCTCCAATATTGTTACTCAGGGATGTTGTTCCCCAGTTTATTTTGCTGTACCCTTATGTCAGGAGTAAGACACAGAAGTCTGGAGTACAGTATACCCATGTTATTAAAGTTGTGATGCTTTCTTGAAGAACAATGAACTAATCAATAATTATAGTTGTTTAGAAATTCTACCTTCCATCAGTCTAAAGCTAAATTGTATCTTTCCATCCTTTAAGTCCATCTCCTTCCCACTTGGCTTGATTTTTCCTCTCTATATGACTAGAATGGTCTCTACTTCTATCCTAAGAACTAACTGTTATCTAGCTTAGTATCAAAATTAGAAGTCTTGTCAAACTGCTAATTACTGAAGAAATCCATCTCTGTTCTCTGTATCTTCAGAGTTCAGGTAAATGGTACCTAATCGATCCAAGACCAGAGACCATGAGCTCTAATTCCGGACTGGCAGCCTTCTTTCACAGAAGCCTTTATGGTCTCAAATATCTTCTCTTATTGCTTTTCTTACCATTCTTCTCCTTCTTGTTCCTTTTTTTTTTTTTTTAATTCTTTCTCTCACTTGTGGAAAAAAAGGACACACACTCTGCTTGGATGAATCAGAGGAAATATTTTCATTTTTTTCTGCACCAATATTAGATAGCCACTCAAATTCCACATAGTATACATGGTAATGTATTAATTGAACACAAGGTTTGCAAATTCATTTACAGTGTGGCGGGTTATCACAGGACTGGTGAGATCATTCGTAGCTAGTATGATCAAATTCAATTTCTTCTGAGTAGTTGACTAGAACAAATACAGTTTCTTTTAGTAAACAAGCTTTATAGTAAATATGCTTTACAAGCTTAATTGATTAAATTATTCCATATCCTAGCTTTGGTCTTCACCACATTAGTAAACATAGGAAGGGAATCTTACAACTAAATTTAGAGTATGAATAACTTAAAAGACCTTTGGCCCATTTCTCTTTGTTTACACTATTTTTGTGGTAACTAGGATATAAATATTCTCAATCTTCTTTTCTTTATTTCACTGAGAAGGGCATTTTCTACACAGTATTTAATTCCCCTAAGTCTCTTGTTCCTAAAATTATCACTGTATAACTAAGACCTATCAGAGGAGTGATTGTGGCTTCCACAAAATCCAACCACCTCTTCAATCTGAGCCTTTCTTTTCATGTGCTTAATGTATTCTTGTCTCTTCACTCCTAGACCGCTCAACTCTCAACACCTTTTTCACATTCAATTTACTCAATTAGTACAATGCAAGATCAACCCTCCACCTAAACAGAAAAAAAATAATGAAACTGCTTCTCTTTAGGTCTTTGTAGTTTATGGTGCTAGATGGAGCTCTTTTTTTCATATTAACTCCACTAAAATTCCAATTAAAGTGCCCAAGATAAGGGAAGTACCAATACAAAAAGAACAACATAAAATTAACAAATCTGGGATCAACAACAAAAACAAATTCAGTGTAAATACGGGATGGGGGGATAAAAACAAGAACCCAGAAAGTAAAAGTAGGAGTATTGGAATCTAGAACATATAATGATAAACATCATAGAGCAATAACTCACTTCTATTGTTTTTTGTTTTGTTTTTTGTTTTGAGATGGAGTCTCACTCTGTTGCCTAAGCTGGAGTACAATGGTGCCATCTTGGCTCACTGCAACCTCCACCTCCCGGGTTCTAGTGATCCTCTTGCCTCAGCCTCCCAAGTAGCTGGGATTACAGGTGTTCACCACCACGCCTGGCTAATTTTTTTATTTTTAGCAGACTCAGGGTTTCACCATGGTGGCCAGTCTGGTCTTGAACTCCTGACCTCAGGTGATCTGCCCGCCTCAGCCTCCCAAAGTGCTGGGATTGCAGATGTGAGCCACCACATCTGGCCAAATGTTCTATTGTTAACAGAGGTTTGTTTGTTCTTTTTTTTTTTTTTTTTTGAGACAAAGTCTCTGTTGCCCCGGCTGGAGTACAGCGGTATGATCTTGGCTCACTGCAACCTCTGTCTCCCAAGTTCAAGTGATTTTTGTGCCTCAGCCTTCCAACTAGCTGGGACTACAGGCATGTGCCACCACACCTGGCTAATTTTTATATTATTAGTAGAGACGGGGTTTTGCCACGTTGTTCAGGCTGGTCTCGAACTCCTGATCTCAGGTGATCTGCCCGCCTTAACCTCCCAAAGTGCTGGGATTACAGGCTTGAGCCACTGTGCCAGGCCTTGTTTTTTTCTTTTGAAACAGGGTCTCACTTTGTCACCCACGCCAGAGTGCAGTGGTGCACTCATGGCTCACTGCAGCCTTGATTTCACAGGCTCAAGTGATCCTCCCATCTTAGCCTCAAGCAATCCTCCCATCTCAGCCTCCCAAGTAGCTAGGATCACAGGCACGTGCCACCACACTGGAATAATTTTTTTTTTCAGTAGAGAAAAGGTCTCTCTATGTTGCCCAGAGTAGTGTCAAACTCCTTGGCTCCAGTGATCCTTCCACTTGGCCTCCCACAGTGCTGGGATTACAGACATGAGCCACCGCACCCAGCCAACAGAGCATTTTAATATATACAGTATCTCACTTCTCTCTGTAGCAGTCCTCTGAGGAAGGGCCCCTTTGATGGAGGACGCTGATCCTCAAAGGGATCAGCTGAACATGCCTCTCTCATTCAGCTAGTAAGTGGCAGTGCTGGGACTGGGTGTCAAATCTCTGAGAAAGATCAGAGTTGTTGATAGACTCCACACTGCATGAATGGAAGCAGAAAACAGTATACTGACTTAAAAAATGGTAAACCAACAAATAAAATGAAAAATGGCTGGGCACAATGGCTCACGCCTGTAATGCCAGCACTTTGGGAGACTGAGGCGGGTGGATCACAAGGTCAGAAGTTTGAGACCAGCCTGGCCAACATGGTAAAACCCTGTCTCTCCTAAAAGTACAAAAACTAGCCAGGAGTGGTGGTGCGTGCCTATAATCCCAGCTACTCGTGAGTCTGAGGCAGGAGAATTGCTTGAACCTGGGAAGCAGAGGCTGCAGTGAGCTGAGATTGCGCCACTGCACTCCAGCCTGGGCGACAGAGCAAGACTCCGTCTCAAAAAAAAAAGAAAAAAAATTAACAACAAAAAACTGAAAAATGAAAGAGCACTAAATAGTCCTATCACAAGAAGTCAAGAAGGCTTAATTAACTCAGAAAACAGGGTACGCAAATTCAAAGTCCTAATCAAAGGGGTTTCTGAGTAAACACAACCAAAAGGCAGCTTGAAAAATCACAAGTCAAGAATATGAAAGAAAATTTCCTGGAATTGAAAAAAGAATATAGCTTTGGGGGGAAAGGGACACTTCATTCAATTAAGGGAGATTGCATAATAATCACATGCATTAGAATAACTTTTATCTTGTTACCTTAGATTATTCACCAGGAGCCCCCAAGTTTTAAAATATACTTAAAAATAATTTTTTTTTCTTCGAGACAGTCTCAATCTGTTGCCCAGGCTGGTGTGCAAGTGGTATGATCACAGTCTCGGCTTACTGCAACCTCCAGCTCTTGGGTTCAAGCAATTCTCCTGCTTCAGCCTCCTGAGTAGCTGGAATTACAGGCACTGGCTAATTTTTGTATTTTTGGTAGAGACGGGGACCACGCTGGTCTCGAACTCCTGACCGCAAATGATCCACCTGCCTCGGCCTCCCACAGTGCTGGGATTACAGGCATGAGTCACCATGCCTGGCCTAAAGTAAGTTTTGTTTGTTTCTTTCTTTGTTTGTTTTTTGAGACGGAGTCTCACTCTGTCACCCAGGCTGGAGTGCAGTGGTGCTATCTCTGTTCACTGCAACCTTGCCTCCTGGGTTCAAGGGATTCTCCTTCCTCCTAGCTGGGATTACATGGGCCCACCACCACACCGAGCAAATTTTTTTTTATTATTATTTTTAGTAGAAATGGGGTTTCACCATGTTGGCCAGGCTGGTCTTGAACTCCTGACCTCAAGTGATCCGCCTGCCTCGGCCTCCTAAAGTGCTGGGATTACAGGCATGAGCCACTCGCCCTGCCAGTAAGCTTTTAACTAAAGTTAAGTGATGTATGCTTTAGCTACAAACTAAATGGTTTCCTTGTGTGTCTACCTGCAAAGGAAAAGTACTCCAGGGTGAGTCAAGGGAGAATGCTTTTCTCAGGGATATCTCTTAGTAATTGAGACAAGATACTCAGGCATGTGTTTCTGTTGGATTGACCCTTTTTACTCTCTTTTCCCAGTTCTTTTTTCTCCCTCTCTTATGCAAGGGAAGTGGGGCAGTAAGAAGGAACTGGAGATGGGAAGAGCATGGAGCTGGCTCTTCCCCGGAGAAGCCTTCTCACTTTGAAAGGCTCATGGGGGCCGGCCGTGGTGGC